AAAAAAAAAAAAAACAGGTCTGTTATGCCTAATTCTAGATCCAAGCTAAGGGTCTTGCTCTCCCTCTGGTCCTCTACCCATGATTCTATCTTTAAACACCCCCAGGATTTAAGCGAACACAGCATCTTCCGGAGCCAGAGCATATAAACATTAAATCCCACTCTTCCTTGTATCTAACTGCTCTCTTTTATTGAAACGAATAAAATCTCATGAGTAGAAATAGAAAATTCTGCAAAAATATATGCCCGTTAATGTAATAGTCGAAATCCCCAGGGCTTTATAAATAGGAAGAGGATGTCTGTCTTGGGGACTCTGCCTCAGGGTGGCTGGCTGGGAAGATGGAAACAGCCTCTACCTAAGGGGACCTTTTAAGTGTGGGTGGGATCAGACAGCACTGAGAGGGGTCTCAGAAACCTGGGGTGGGGCGTCTCTAAGCAGAAATCCTTTTCCAGTTACAGCTAGCTCTGTGTTTTAAAAGGAAACTTTAGGTGTGGCAGAAAGTCATTATTATGCAAATAGGCTCCCCCCACTCCTTCTTTAGGTGACTCTTTTGGTGAATCAGATCCTTACTTTCCCTATGCTCTGGGGCAGGGAAGCCTGTGGGAGGTACTTCACCAGGAAGCTATCACCTTCAAACCCGGCCACCGTGGTTCCAGGTTTTCTGTTAGACCCACAGGGACCTCCAGGGAATGAGGTCCCCTTTGTGTTCATGCAGAAGTGCTGTAAGGCTTGAGATCTCCTGACCCCGCAGGTCTGGGACCAGCTGTTTACCTCACAGAAGTGACCTCACTAGGTTGAACAGATTCCTCTTTCTCTGTCCCCACCTAGTCCCTTCCCTTCTGCTACCATCCAAGTGGCCCATCCCACCCCAAACACAGCCATTAGATCAAACTAGAGTGGTGTCTGGGTCCCACAGAATGAGGACCAAAGCCTGCTCTCAAGACACTAGCTGTAAAGCATGTGTCCACAGGAGGGTTCCCCAGACCACCCTCCTTTCTGATCAATCAGCTACAAATTTGGGATTACTTCCTTGCTGGGTTCAAAGTGGGCCCCACACAATGGCAGTGCCAGTGACTCTGACCAGGAAAACAAAAGGGTTGTTACTGGATAAACTGACGCCTAAATTCAGCATCCCTCAAGCTGGTTTCTGTTTGCTGGAAACCCCCTTTAATCCACCCTGCAATGGTCAATGACCTCTGGCAAGGGCATCTGGTTCTCAGTCTATCAGAACGGCTTGTATCAGCTCAAAGACCCACCTCCTGCTGACTGTGGGAAAACCTGCTTGCTTTTCTGTCATTTTGCCCCCACGCCCCAACAGCCTCTGCAGTTTGAGCCCCAGTAAACCTTCTTTCTACTCATGGAGTGGTCTTGTTCCGTGGTCTCACTGTGCCCTCGTTCACACTCCTAATGTCCACCATTGTCTAGAAGGCCTCACAGAACCAGCTTTGGTGGGAAGTCAGATGCAAACTTCTCCCATGTCTTTGGGTGTGTCAGCACACACACACACACACACACACACACACACACACACACACACACACACACACCATCCTGTGATCAGATGGGATAAGGTCCTAAATGTTGTCTTATGTGCAAAGCCTCCCTGTGGTGGAAGGTGGTGTGTTCACAGGGACTAAAGTGTGGGTTTCTCGAATTGGCACAGGAGATCACTTCCTAAATACAACACCAGCAGCACAGACACTGAGAACAACAATTAATAAATGGGGCCTCTTGAAACTGAGAAGCTTTTGTAGGGCAAAAGACACAGTCAAAAGACAAAAAGACAGCCTACAGAATGGGAAAAGACCTTCACCAACCCCACATCTGACAAAGGACTGAGCTCCCAAAGTATATAAAGAACTCAAGAAACTAGACATCAAAATACTGAACAATCCAATTAAAAAACGGGCTAAAGAGCTAAACAGAGAATTCTCAAAAGAAGAATCTCAAATGGCTGAAAGACATTTAAGGAAATGCTCAACATCCTTAATCATCAGAGAAATGCAAATCAAAACGACTCTGAGATACCACCTTACACCTGTCAGAATGGCTAAGATCAAAAACACTAATGACAGTCTATGTTGGAGAGGATGAGGAGCAAAGGGAACACTCCTCCACTGCTGGTGGGAGTGCAAACTTGTACAACCACTGTGGAAATCAGTATGGAAATCAGAAAATTGGAAATTGATCTACCTCAAGACCCAGCCATACCGCTCTTGGGCATATACCCAAGGAATGCTTAATCATACCACAAAGATACATGCTCAACTATGTTCATAGCAGCACTATTCATAATAGCCAGAACCTGGAAACAACCTAGATGCCCGTCAACTGAACAGTAGATTAAGAAAATGTGGTACATATACACAATGGAGTACTACTCAGCAGAGAAAAACAATGACAGCATGAAATTTGCAGGCAAATGGATGGAACTAGAAAATATCATCCTGAGTGAGGTAACCCAGACCCCGAAGGACAAACATAGTATGTACTCACTCATAAGTGGATACTAGATATAAAACAAAGAACAATCAGACTGCAACCCACAGAACTAGGGAGGCTACATAGCAGGGGGGACCCTAGGATGACTGTGGCTTATAATGTTTTGGTTTTACTCAATTACTGGGCAAGCCTCAATGAAACATTTCACTATTAGGATAAGAATTTGTACTGTATCAAGCTGATAATAGGAAAAATAAATAAATAAATAAATTAATTAATTAATTAAAAAAAGTGTGGGTTTCTTCAGGACTGATATCCCACCCTCCCCATTACCACCCCCAACCCCACCACCACCCACCACCTCCACGCCCACTGTCACCATGCCCTAGGCCTGGTACCCAAGACTTTCCTGACCCCAGAGCAAATTTGATTCAGGATTTGCTGGTTCTGGAGAAGATGGCTGTGCCTCCTTGGCATGCTGGCACACTGAGCCCCAAGCACCTGGCATGGAAGGAGAATTTAAACTGTGAAGCGGGAAGTTAAGGCCACAGTTCTCAGGATCAGTGAAGTGGGCAGAGCTCCCTAAGATGACTGGAGGTTGTCACTGGCTAGACTCTGGGGAGTCTGGGAAAGTCTGAATTGTTCTCCCCACCCCAACACACAAGTCTTGTCCCTCTGCATCTGACTAGACACAGGACCTGCGTGGATTCAAGTGTGGAATGCAAGGCTGGCCATCCTTCCCACCAGGATGTTGGTGAGGCAGACCAGAGTCTCACTTTTGATCTCAATTTCTCGATCTGTTCTGGGTGGTTCCCCAGGCTGCCACCCGCAGTTGTGCATGGTTTTGCCGCACCAAAGCCAAGGTCAGAATGCTTAGGGCCAGATCAACCCAGGCCAGGCTCTGTTCTCCCATCGGGAGCCCACTCACAATGCCTCGACTGCCCATAGAGGGCGCCCTTTTCAAATCTGCCCTAGGTACCCTAAGAGCTAAAGGCCACCCTGACAACCTCCATGTAAGAAACAGGGAAGCAGGGCTCAAGATGAGATGGCTCAGGGTTAAGAGCACTGACTACTCTTCCAGAGGTCCTGAGTTCAATTCCCAGCACCCACAGGGTGACTCACAACCACCTGAAATGATTCTCCTGGCCTAAGGGACACATGCAGGCAGAACACTCTATATCTAATAAATAAATAAGAAAAGAAACAAGGAAGCCAGAAGGTTAAGGAATAAATTCAAGATTATACAGCTGTTCAGGATTCACATCAGGCCTCCCCGGCTTGTACCATTGCCTAGAGAAGAATCCTCTTTATTAAACACCCAGACAGAGTACGTGTGTAAAGATAGGTGTCTGGCTGCTGGTGGCCTTGTCTGGTTGAAACTTGGGCGATATGAACCATGAACGCCATGGTAAACCACACGCTGAAATCCAAGGCCAGTCACAAAGCCAGTCATGGTGGGTCACTTCCTGGCTGTTTAGCACTGGCAGATAATTCACACCTCCGAGCCTCAGTTTCCCCCATGTCAGAGACAGGAGTGTCAGCCCTGAGTGTGCGGACTGTTGCAGAAGTGAGAAGTGGGTGGAGCCTGCACAGCATTCAGCTGAGGGTCGGTTTTGAAGGCACTAGGGGTTGAGTTCAGCCACCTAAGGACACCAGGAGAAGAAAGAGAAGGGAGCCAGAATCCGGGCGCAGGAGGTGGTTCCGCCGAGGTCTGCTGCTCAGAGGCCCAGCGCGCTCCCAGACCTGTTGGCCTCAGTTTTGCAGGTCGGGGAACTGTTGTGGTTTTGCATTGGGGTGGGGTGTCACAGAACAGTGGATGTGTGGCGCTGCCTGCTCTCCCTTGCATTGAGGCCTAGTGCTGTGGGAGAGACCCCCAACTCCCACCCTCCCACCCCCCTTGGGGCTGTTTCCTCCACCAGAAGACTTCTGATTTGGTGATATTATTTAATTATGATTAAATTATTATTCGAGAGTCTCACGTATCCCTGGCTAGGCTGGCCTCAAACTCGACATGGAGCCAAGAATGACCTTGAACTCCTGATCCTCCTGCCTCTGCCTTCCAAGTGCTGGGATTGCAGGCATATGCCACCTTACATGCTGAGGATTGAACCCAGGGCTCCATGCACACTAGATAGCACTCTACAACTGAGCAATTGGTTTGAATATGCCCTTACAGGGCGCACCCTCAGGAGAGCGTGGGGCCCAGACGCATCTGGCAAACTATTTCAAAAGGAGCCTGAGCACAGCATAGCAGGGGCTGGGCGGGGGTGGGGGAGTGGGGGATGGGGGTTTCTAGGGTAATATTCTTTTTCTGCATTTGCACTGACCACATAAGCTCTCTCATCCTCTATTTAAATGTGAGAGACAATGGTCACTGCAACCTCAGACTTCCTGCTGGGAGTCAATGACATCCATCATTGTTCTTGTACAAATTAATAATGTGGCCCACCCCTGGTTGCTATGACAACGGTCCTCCCCTCCCCTGTGTTTTTGTGAGCATGAAATGGAATTGATCGGAAATGCTTCCTCGTGAACTCCAGATAAGCGGAACAGAGAGAGAAATTACCAGAGTCCTCAGCACCTCTGTGCAGGTCTTGGTTTTAGAAGGATTCAATCAGTCCCATGAGAGACCCAGAAGCCACCACAGAAAAGACAGAGCTAATTAAGGAAGGCTGCAAAAGTCGCCCTGGTGCAGTGGATCCCACACACGGCCCCTGACACCGAGATCAGCCCAGAGCTTTCCAGAAATGTCAAAAACAATGAGGTTTTCTTTTTCTCCTACTCCCCCACTGTCTCCGGCTTCCCACTTCAAACTGCCTTTCTTCAGCTTCTCTCTCTGAAGGGTGCAGAACAGGTCCAGCCCCAAAGCAGCAAATCCAGGACCCCCAAGCTGGTGGCTGCTGCCAAGGGGCTCAGGGCAGACAGGAGGTGGAGAGCCATGTGTCCCCAGCTGGAGCAGGGTGAGTGGACCCACTCTAAAGAAAAGCTTGTTTGTGTTCCAGCCGGCACCATTCCTGCCAAAACAGAATGGAACAAAACAAAAATAAATACATTTTAAAAAGTGTACTTTCCCCAATTACATAAGTAACTCAGACTTAGAAACTGTAGAAGGTTTGACATGGCTGTTGTAATAGAAATCTCACTGCAGCTGACCGGCACCAGACTGGACTGGGGGGAGGGGAACTCCATAAGGCCCCACCCTCCCCCATTGGAAGTTAAGAATTGTTGGGGGTGGTCACTTCTTTAAGTGGTGTAGCTTTGAGTCAGTGGCCTTGCTTCACAGAATAACTTCCCGCCCACTCGCTGGCAGGAAAAGTTCTGGGTCACCCTAGAAGACACGGTGTGAGTGGGGTGCATTGAGAATAAAGGGCTCTAGTGGGGGGGAGGGGGATGAGAAAGGGGAATGGAGGATGACTAAAATTCATTATATAAACCCGTGAAACTGTCAAACAATTTAGAAAAAATTAAAAAAATCAAGTCCCAGGGAACACAATAAAGCCAATTACAATCCTGTGCTCACTCCAAATTGCTGCTACTTTGGGGGCACATTAGTCCATTTTGTGTTACTAAAACGAAACGCCTACTGCAGTCTAAAACACATTTTGGAGGCTTTAAGTAAACAGCATGGCAGGTGGTAATGGCTGGGGAGGGCGAGTGCCCTGTGGGCATGGGTTTGGGGAGGAGACTCTGGAAACGGTTCTTCTCAGGCTGGAATGCACGCCATCCCAAGCCAGCAGGACAAGCCCCTGAGGACCTCTGTTAGACTCTGGCTCTTAAAGGCCCCAGGCTACCTGCTACCTCCTCATACTGCCTTGGGGCCAAGCTTCAAACACAAGAAACTCTGAGAGGCACACACAGAAAGCACAGCCCATGTGTGTGTGTGTGTGTGTGGTGTGTGTGTGTGTGTGTGTGTGTGTGTGTGTGTGTGTGTGCACTTTCTCTCCACTCTGCTCCTTCATGGAACTTGACCTGATGGCCCCTCTCCTGTCCGCAATACAGCAACGCTTTGACTGTTGTCTTGGAATCTCATGGTCCAGGAATTAAAGGGAACAGATCTGAGTCCCCACCTGAAGATGATTCATGTGTGAGAGAGAAACTACTTGGGTCTTTTCTGGGGCTACTTAGTTTGATGCCTCTCTGGATGCCATAGCAACCACGACCCCACAACAGCATCCCAGCACTAATAAGACCAGGTGTTCCACTCACGATCAAGATGGCGAATGTTAACTATAACAGAATCTAGATCACTCAGGGGCCTCTGGGCATGCCTGTGGGGGATTATTTCAATGCTATTACTTGGCATGGGAAGATTCATCTTAATTGTAGGCAGGACCCATTCCCTGGCCAGGATCTCGGACAGACTGGATCAAAGTGACCTGAGCCACAGCGTCCACTGTGCTCTGCTTCCTAACTGTGAGTATGGTGTGACCGCCTGTCTCAAGCTCTGTAGCCTCCCCCTCCCACCATGATGGACGGCACCTTGAACTGTGAGCTGGAGTAAAGTCTTTCTCCCTCACGTTTCTTTGGTCAGACTATTTTATCACAGTGACAAGAAAAGAAAACAGCCAGTATTCTCCGTTTATAAGGTGTTCACGGGGCCTCAACTCCATCGTAACTGGAGGAATCCTGCCTGGAGAAGAACCTGAGGTCTGTATTAATCACTTTTCTCAATGCTATGACAAAATACCAAACAAAACCGCCACTTAACAGTTGCTCACAGCCCATCACCGTGGGGAAGGCGAGAAAGCAGGAGTGAGGCCGCTGGTCACATGACATCCTCCATCAGGAAGCAGAGAGAGAGGAAGGTTGGTGCTCACCTCTCTTCCTCCTGTTTATTCAGTCCGGGACCCCAGCCCAGGAGATGGTGCCACCCACACTCAGGCTGTCTCCCCTTTTCCTCTCACCCTCCCTGAGACACCCTCATGGGGTTCAGAGGTGAGCTTCACTAATGTCCTAGATGGATCTTAATCCAGTTGTCAGTCAAAATCAGCCACCACAGATGACCTGAGGAGACAGGGAAGATCAGCAGCTGACCTTCAGGCTTCCCTAACCCAGGACTTCACTAACCCATCAAAAGTACAGAACCCCTAAAACCTGTGGTCCTTTCGCTTACAGAGCCCCCTCTGACCCCCTTCTTGTCCCAGCATTCTCTTCAGCTCTGAGCCTGTATTTCACATACACGAGGAACTCAGATGCCGTCTGCTTCCACAGTGTGCCCCAGTTTGGCTGAATATGAGAACAGACAGAACCAGACAACTGGCCACCCGCCTTGTCACTCTACCTTAGAACCTCCTGGGTGGCAGGCACTCTATATAGAGAGTCACTCCTTCATTTGACTAAGGGACTTCGTGGAACATATCCCCACGGGTAAGAGGACAGTTGTGACCTTATATGGGGCTTTGTTAGGATTCTGCCCCCACTCCATCTCCATGACCGCACATGCGCAGTTCAGGAGCTAAGTAAGGAGTCTTGCATCTTACGTCATCAGTGCGTGCTGGTGATTAAGTGCGTGCTGGTGATTACTGTGTGAGGCACGGTCACATAGTCAGCGCATGTGTGGCATAGCTCCATAAGCCTGCCTGTGCATGTGCCCGGGAACCCTTAAAAAGCTGGACACAAACTCCTCCTCTTCCTCTCTATTCTGTTCTCTTTCTCTCTCTCTCTCTCTCTCTCTCTCTCTCTCTCTCTCTCTCTCTCTCTCTCTCTCTCTCGTTCTCTCTCTCCTCTCTGCTCTCTGCACGTGTCTCCCCCAGGCCTGGTCCTTTTGCCCCCACCCCAAATAAAGCTGATACTGGGTTTTGTCATGGCTCGTGACCTTTACTGGGTTTTGTCATGGCTCGTGACCTTTACTGGGTTTTGTCATGGCTCGTGACCTTTACTGGGTTTTGTCATGGCTCATGACCTTTCCGCCCGGTAACCAGCACTGCTATCGTTCTTAAAACCATCAGGCATCCCTCCTCTCTATTTACCCACAGGATCGTGAGTATGGGGAGAACGTGAAGCCAGGGAGCCTAGGAGTCTTGGTTTCTAGAGACATGAGTGTGAGTCAGCGTATTGGGAATAAGTGTGTGAGAACTGGGGTATGTACAAGTATGCAGGTGTATGTGTGTGTGAGTGTGTGTAGGACAAGGGTTGGCTTTGGGTCAATCATTCTCCATCTTATTATTTGAGAGAAGGTCTCTCTGTGCCCTAGGGTATGCTGTTAGGTCTGAGTTGGCTAGCTTCCACAGTGCTGGAGTTACAGCCGTGCACCTCTGTACTCGACTTTTTATGTGGGTGCTGAAGGACTAAACTCAGGTTCTAACTTACCATCTCCTCGGCCCCAGAAAGCTTAGATTTAAAAAAAAAAATTAATTGTATTTACGTGTATGGGTGTTTTGCCTGCATGTAAGTCTCTATACCCTGTATGTACCCGGTGCCCTTGGTGGCCAGAAGAAGGGGTCAGAGCCCATGAAACCGAAGATACAAATGGTTATGAGCTGCCTTGTGAGTGCTGGGAGTCGAACCTGGGCCCCCTGGAAGAACACAGAGTGTTCTTAACCACTGAGCCATCTCTCCAGCCCCAAGCTTTGCTTTTTGACATTCTCAAATGATTTGATTTTCCCAACCAGTAGATTCCACCCCCATCCACCCCAAGTGTGTCAACCACAACATGAAGAATTGAAATGTGAGGCATAGGCTTAACCGGGCTCCCAGAACACAGCAAAGACCTCCTGACAGTTTGTGACTGTGGGAAGCAGCCCTGATCGCCTTCCTTTGCCTCTCTCCAGCAGCACGCCCTCATCCATGCAGTTCCCAGCTAGGAGCCAGAATCTGATCTGAGTTCAGTGGCTGGAGACCACAATGATGGGGTGGTGGGATGCTGGGCGGGCTGGGGAGCCGCAATCACCCGAATTTACATATAGATTTCCCAGGGCGGAGCTGCCTGCTCTCCCTGCTGGGGTGAACCATTCTTGATTTTTTTCCTCATTACCCAGACGCTGCTTTGAAGAAGCTTGAAGAAGCAGTACTGCTCACTAGCTTTCTGAGTTGGGATGGTGGGGGGGGGGGGGGGGGGGGGGGGGACTTAACAGCATTTATGGGGATCCCTTTCAAAAGCAAGGCTGCAATCAACACACACCTTCTAGAACGGGAGGAAAGCAGCCTTCCATTCCCTTCCTGCCGCTGGCTCACAAGCTCCAATTTCTGTGCACTCACCCTCCTCACTTTCACTTCCGTCCTATTTCTGCCCTTCTGGCTAATTTTGCATTTCTTGTGGAGGCCGGGCTGGGCTGGCCAGCTTAATGAGCCTCCTCGACCTGCCAGCAGATAAATGGTGTGCCATTAGCCGCCTGTTTAACGGCCATATTTCTTCCTCCGGATGAGGGCTCAATATCTCTCACATGAAATATGGCCTGAGGAGCCCCTAGTCCCCAACGTGAAGTACTAAGCGATTACTCAGTGGTGGTTCCAGAGCTTGGCGGCTCGTGACAGCTGCCTTTTCCGGCTCAGCTCCTTGGATTGGATGGAAATGGGGACCAGGGAGGCTCCCGTTTTCCCCAGGATGTCTTCGCCCTAGCTCCCTTTCCCCCACTTGGGTTTTCCGCGAAGCTCGGTCCTCCAGCATCCTCATCCCATTCTTTTCTTGTCTGTAGTCCTTGGTCCTTCCCCTCTGAGAGGGGTCCTCCCTTCTGCAAGGAAGGTCTGCAGGCTGGTGGCTTCCCTTGGCTGACCGTGCTGTGGCCGGTGGTTCCCAGGGCTGGAAGAGATGAAGGAGCTGTGTCCAGGGTGTGGCTCTCTGCAGCCACCTCCTAAATCACACCCCACTCCAAGCTGCCAACCCCAAAGCAGGTTATTCTCTGATCTCAAACCGGACTTCCTGAAATCCATCCTGGAGGCCACCCTGTGGACCACTGGGCAGCGATTCCCTCTGTCATCATCCAGCCAGCCTCTCTGCTGTGAGTCCTGCTTCACTCCTGGCCTGCTCTTCACAAGGGTTCTTTAAGTGTGTCTGTATTTGTGTTACACAGTTGAG